TTCTTTCACTTTCAGTCTGTGTATCTTTATATCTGAACATGTATCTCTTTTAGGCAGCAGAGATTGCCCCCTCCCTTTTAAAAAAAAAATACATTCAGCCACTGTATCTTTTTTTTTTGGGGCATTTTAAATTTTATTTTTATATTCCCCATACACTTGCAACCCCTTTATTTTGACCCCCTTTCCCCGCCCCCCACCCCCATAGTGTGTCTCTGGTTCATAGTTGTTTGTTGTTTGTTGATTTTTTTCTTTCTTATAGTTATTCTTTTTCCTGGTCCCTTGTTTAGGTTTTCTAGATTCCTGCTATGAGTGAGACCATCTGGTATTTTTCTTTTTCTTTCTGGCTTATTTCGCTGAGCATGATCCCTTCCAGCTCCATCCATGTTGCCGCAAATTGCATGTGTTTATCTTTTTTGAATGCTGAGTAATATTCCATGGTGTATATGTACCACATCTTCTTGATCCAGTCATCTATTTTTGGGCATTTGGGTTGTTTCCAAAGCTTAGCTATTGTAAATAGTGCTGCTACAAACAGGGGTGCAGGTGCTCTTTGGAACTGATGTTTCTGTGTCCTTTGGGTAAATACCTAGGAGTGGAATTGCTGGATCATATGGGAGCTCTATCTTTAGTAGGTTGAGGAATCTCCACACAGCTATCCATAGTGGTTGGACCAGTTTGCACTCCCACCAGCAGTCAGCCACTGTATCTCTTGATGGGAGAATTTAGTCCATTTACATTTAAAGTAAGTATTGATAGGTGTGTATTTCTCATCATTTTTGTTTTCTATTTTTTGAATTCCTCTGTTCATTTTTCTTTTGCGTCTTTTGTGATTTGATGATTTTCTGCAGTGGCTTGCTTAAGATTCCTTTCTCTTGTGTATCTACTATAGGTTTCTGCATTGTGGTTACTGTGAGGCTTACATAAAACAACTTACACTAGTCTTTTTTAAGATAATGACTTGAGTTTGTAATCTGCATTTTTACTCCTGCCGCCCTTCCAGTGCCATGATTTGTGTTTTTGATATTGCAACGTTCCTAGAATCCTGAGACAGAGCTCTGGCGCCAGTGTGGTTGAACTTAACCTTTGTAATGTCCATGTCATTTCCTTTGTCACATAGTTTAGACATAATAAAAAATACTTGAAATTATTCCACACCATTATTAATTTTCTTTGGTAATAAAAACTGTCTTGGGAAAATGACCATTCTAAGGAGAGGCATCCAAATTTCAGACCATGCCTTGGTTTTTTGCATGGATAAGCCTCAGCTTGTGCCCAAGTTGTAACTTGTAGGCACATCACTAATCTAAGCTTAAGATAATTAGAACCAAATGATTTTTATGTTTTCAGAACATTCTAAGCCTAACTCTGGAAGGCCTTTATGCTAATTTCCTTTAGTAAGTCATTTTAATCTCTGAACACGATCTTTCCTGCCATTTATTGTAATCATAGTGACACAGGCAGTTAAGAAATATTTTAGAAATGGAAAAAACAATCCTAAGATCTCTAGCTTTACATGCTGATGTTATTTGCTACATTACAATTGTGACTGTAATTGGAATATCAACAAAATGCCCAGATGTCTAATGGTTAACTAGAATTCCAAAAGTTAAGTCAGCAACATGGCTCTTATATTTCTTGTGTTGCTTTGTGCTATTTGGTGGAATAAGCAATAAAGGAAAACATTTTTATATTGTAAAATATGCTGTGACTGAAAGGTTATATTAAAATATAATCTCTTTAGTGAAGAACAATAAAATTCACTAGTTACAGTTCCTTATACTATGTGGTAATGAATGAATCTCAATTTTGAGTTAAACTCTCTCATTTGTGCTTTCAATATGTGAATATCAGTTGATGTGAGTCTTATGTGATGTGCAGGGCTAGTGAATCAATTTTACTTTAAAAATTATTTAATCATTTGCCTCATGAGAGCCCAAATGATTTTAATGAGGTAGAACGTTTAAATCAGCAAACTAATACAACCTTTATTAATGAAATTGCTAGTTTGTCTTAGTTAAGATTTGGTCTATTAACTATAACCTAATTCTTTGACTAGGCCAAACCAAACTCCTTCTGTTTATTCCCCCCCTTTGGGAGGTATAAAGTTGCAAGTCTGATTAGATAAATGGTGAGAGTCTCTCAGCTGTCAGGTTGAGACCATTCCCTGTTCCAGAGGGTCACCAGCTGTTCACATGGAACTGGCTAAAGGAGTGCTGTGTGCTGCACTAGGCTGCATGAACTGATAGCAGTATTGTCTAGCCTCATGTGATGGAGGGACACACGGGACAAGGGACACTGTGGCAGGAGATGATAGGGTTGGGCTCTTACTAGCTCTGTTGTCCCGTTCCAGGCAACACAGGCTCACCTCCAGAGGTGGGTAGCTAAGTAGTTATGATATAGATGCTTCTACATAAGCTCACAGGGGGTCAGTGTGAAGTCATTTTCTTATCTCCTTACATTATTGGTCAAATGAATGTTTATGATCAAGTTGAAAGTATCAAATGGAATTGTAAGAGTGTGGCTTGTGAGCCTATATTTCTTCTCCAAGAAGGCAAATACATCTACACGGTCTTGTTTTATCTTTCCATTGATGGCTAGTGCTGAGGCCCACATAGGAAATAGATGCTTAAGGAGAAAGTAGATGAAATGCAAGTTTGACTTGCCAAACTGACCCAACAAGTGCTTTGAGAACTGGAACTGATCTTGTTCCCAGGCCTAGCACGGTGTCTGGCCCATGGGGAACTGGCAGGAAATGCATGTGGAATGAGGACACAGGTCTGAGCTTCATTTGGAGAGAGAATGCAAGTGAGAACTAGATATCTAGAAATTACAGAATCGGACATATCCCTGACAATGCTATAGTCTTCTTAATCGTCTACATTCCATCATGATGCCATCAAGGGTCAGGACCACCCAGATACTCAATGGAGGTGTAATGTGCGATGATGATGTGTATAAAGATCACTGCTGCTTCAGCTCATAAAGGGAAATGCCTTTCGTGCAACACTAGACAAATGTGTGTGCCACAGGTAAATCAAGTTGTTATAGGTAAATCAATCAAGTAATGAAGATGTTTCCATATTTTCAATGACTAAAATATATAGTTGGGGAGAACAGAGATTTGGGCATCTTACTTTTCTAATATGCATTTGAAAAAAACAGCTTTTTTTTTAAGTGGACTTGCCTATTGGTGACATAAACTGAAATAATTTCTTAGAAATAAAGAGCATTGGAACCTTGAACTCAATTAATTTAGAGGCCTTCCATTTAAGCTCATGAAGTAACCAGAAACATTTAGCTTAATATCCATTCTTGCATTTAAGAACACATTTTTAATCTTAACTACTTCCTCTGGCCAGCTGGTGTAACAAACTGGCATTAAAAACAAGAAATGTAGAGAAGAAAAAATCTGATTCCTCAATAATTTCTTCAAAAGTATAGATAGAAAATTGGGAATGGAGTCTGGTTTCAGGACAGAGTCTCTGTGGTGCTGCCAAATCAGTGGGTGATTGTGGAAAGTTTTACTGGCCCCTCTTCCCACAACTGACTGGTAGAAATAAATAGAAGTCTCTGCCTCATCATAAAAGGCCAGCTCTCCCACTAGTCATAGGAAGATACATACAAAAGACTCGAGTTAATTACTGAGTAAAAACCTCCCAAAGGGAATGGGAGTTTTTCTTCATTTCAAGGAGTGTCACCCCAAAGTTCAACAGTGCTTTAAGGAGGAGCCATTACTTATAGCTGCATGTCCTGTGTATTTAAAACATAATCAAGTGCATCATTCACAGGCTTGATAGATGGTAATCTTGTCATACCCAGAACTTTGAGCAGGTGGGAAATGCATGTTGGTATTTACTATGATCAGGCATTTCTTCTGCTTCAGATATACCTCTAATTCTACTAAATGCCTACTCTAAAATTAACCCTATGTGTTCCTGTTAAAAAACAATAGGGTGATCAATAAAGCACATTCATTCAAAACTGAATTCTTCCTTGAAAAGGTCTTTATACAAAATGAACCTCAGACATGAGCTCCTGCCTAACCCAGGGGCAGATTCATGTGATCAGATTTCTTTGACCAATGTATTTCATGAGTCAACAGCATTGTCTTGGTGTTTAGTGCCTTTTAGTGATCTCCAATTTAAGGGAAATTTCCTATGTTATATAAAGCAAATCTCTTGTACCTTATTATATATCCTCTGTTTTTAGTGCAAAGACATTTTTTCACAGGAGACTGTGGTTGAGAAGAGAGCTGTAATGGACTATATCTCCTGAGTAACCATACTTTTCTGAACAGAACAATAAAACATATTGCCAGCTTCCTGCTATAGCTTAGGGGCAGAAATAGGGGGAAACACCAGATTTCTGTCAGTTCCCATTATCTTTGAGATAGTCTTGAAAGTATCAAGGAATGACATAACAAAGATGGGAAAAATCTTGTCATGTAGTATTTTTTTTATCTTTTAAAAGCAGGACAGAATGTTAGTTCTGGAAGGGTGCTCATCTGCCAGACAAGGACACAGACTCTGGAAAGTCATGCTCAAAGGCACAGGGTGGCCAATGACAGTACTGGGGCACTTCCCTGGCATCCAGCTGCACTGGCACCCGCTGCTCTCTGGGTGTCAGGTTGCTGTCTGGGATGCCTCTCAGGGCACTCTGCACTTACCTGCATGTCAACGTCATGCATTTCCGACAAAACAAATGTTTACAGACACTCTTTTGTAGTTAGTCTTTTTTTCTTCTGGTAGATCTAAAAGGAACTCCTGTGTTCCCATCGCCTCCCTCCAAAAAACGTATTTGAGAAAACAGTCTAGGTTTCTACAGAGCTTACAATAAGAAAAGGAAATCCAATGAAGGGTGCTCCATTTCTAAGCCATTTTAAATTATTTTAGGAACTCAACATAAAACTTGCAATAGTGAACAAAAGAGGTGAGGGGATACTCAATATTCAATAAATAGCCAAACACATTTCTCCAAATACTTTCAATCATGGGAAAAGAATAAATTATCAATATTTTTTATTTCTAAAAGCCAAATTTAATAAATTAATAAATGCATGCCAGATAAAAACACAAAAGCACAACTGAAAACCAGTAATATTTTAACAGAAAAGATTCTGCATTGTACTTTTTTATTGGTGTGGAGAATTTACTAAAGTAATCTGCTTTTTGCTCTTGCTGGAAGGAAAGTACTATGTTAAAGAAGAACTAAGAGAAACCAGAAATAAAGCATTTGAGGAAAAATAGGCCTATGTCAGTAGATGGCAATGCAGCAGGCAGAGGTGCTGTCTTATCCACTGTAGTTGCATGTTTATGTGAGCATCAGAACCAACGACAGAACCCAAAAGCGAAGTCACGACAGAGTCACTCTGCGAAACATGCTGACTTACAACCATAGACTACCCAGGACGAAGAGGCGGTGCAGGCTTGTTGTCTCCTTGGTATGGGGTTCCCGTGCCAAATAGGGGGCTAATCATGCAATAGCTTGAGTTTCTCTGAACATGATAAACACCCAGGAGTACTAGAACTGCAAAGCGTGTGTTCACTGTTTTACAAGGACAGCTGAGCGGTGCTACGAAAACAACAGAAAGTTCCTTCATTTTAATCTGGTTATATGCCCAAACCTCTAACCAAGAAATAATTCAGCTAGACGAGCCAATTAAATTACTATAAAACATTCCTTCATCTGTAAAACGTTTTCCCCCTCAAACTAAAAGTTTAAAATAAAATGTCTTCATTTTTGATAAGCAGCTCTACCACCAGTCTCTGATACCGTATATCATTCAGTGCAGCCATTGCATCTAGTTCTGGAGATCTCATGAGAGTCGGGCCGAAAACAATTCCGAGGTTCTCTGCATTCATAAGGTTCTCCTTTTCATGGAGGGTCACTCTGAAAAATACAGGTAAAGCAATCTTTAAGACCAGGGGTCATCGTGCATGGGCACTGACACAAAGACAAGCCCCACAGTCTGGGTCTGTGTCCAACAGAGCTCTTCTGCTAGGATGGGTCACAGAACTTCTTGACTTCAAAATACTGGCTTTCCTTAAAGTAAAACACCTTAATTTTCACTTCAGGTGACCACTGAAGTGGAGGTCTGAGCTGCTGTGCTGGATTGTGCCGGTTCAGCTCCGTTTGTGGATTCTTTGCAGCCCACTGGTGCGGGGGCATGTTTGCAAATAGAGAAGGAGCTGTGTCTTGACTGTTCATGAGCCCTTCCTTCACTCTGGCCTTCTTGTTTCCAGAGAATATTTTGCTGGGGGAATAGTTTGCGTGTTCAGGGGAAAGTGGTAGTGATGTTACTAGGAAAATGCTCAGGGTGAGCAATCTTGTCAGCAAGTGGAAGTGATTTTATACGTTCTTTTTACTGCTACAGGAAAGGCACGGAAATCATAACTTGAGAGTTATTCCTTTGCTTTGGTGTGGAGTACTTAATGATATCCAAATATGAAGCAGACCTGAATTTACACATGATGGTGTACACTTATTGATAGTTTTAATGAATTTTTTCCCTCTATAAAGCACCATAAGTAAATATTCATTTCCAGGTAGCTCACACTTAAGACCTAAAGCAGATGTCAAATTCTGCTGTCTTTTTTGGTTACTGACTGTCATATATTTTTAAGTTCTAAAATCACTAAAACTTGAAGCAAAGCTTTTGAAATAATATGTCCAACTTACAGAGATTAGGGGCAACTAAGCAGGGAAATAAAGCTCTATCACCATCAACCACTTTAAGACATTAAACTAGAACTGAATTTTATTTTCCATCCCTCCCTTTACCCTTTACTTTATTCCATTAATTTTTCTATAGCAAGTTTCAGTATTGGCAACATTAACTCAATAATTTAAATACCCATCACCAAGTCTGAAGTGCCTAGTTTGGAGTAATAAAAAAAGCAAGGCTTCTTGCAATTGCTCTGCTCTTGATTTATTATGCTAATGCTAGTGTCTTTACAGCCACAACCACAAAATTTACCACAAAAATCACCACATGCCCTTGGCTGAATAATGGTATTTCTCACATATTTGCCAACATACTGGATCTGCAAATATATCAATATCAGAGTCAAGTCTGCAGTCAGCCTTGTTGAGCTAACTATAATGTTCCTTTTCAAAGTGTGAGATTTCACACAAAAGTACTGCAGCTACGCATATATTTATTTATTCACTAGATCATCTGCCCTTTCTTTCACTTTTTGTTTCATTTTATTCTTAAAATTTGGGTCCCATACAAGTATGAGCTTCAAAGTCTGTAACTTGCCTCTTCAGATGCGCCATGAGGTACCGGAGGGTTTCGCAGTGAGCAGGTGGCAGTAGCTTCAGTGCTTCATGAAGGGTTTCTAATTGCTCATCGGGATCCATGATTTCTGTAAGAGTAAGCAGGATGCCAAGGAGAAAAACTTTAATAACTGGTATAAATGGTTCATTTAATTCTATTCTTTATGGTGCTCTTCCCAAACTGGTATGAGATGCTTTTTCACAGATCCTTGGCCATACCTTTAGAAACTTTTTAAGATTCAAGCCCCAGATTTCCTAAGACTTAGTTTCAATGTGGCAACACCATTTACTTAGAATATTGGGGGAACATGTAGTTTTTTCACTTGCATGTACTGGTGTTTGGTAACTATGGAAAATGGATATTGAAAATACAGGGTGTAACTATAAAAGTTCAGACACATATGTAGACACAAACTTACATACTCAAATGGGGTCATATTAGAACATTACAGATATGCTTACGGAAAGTTGCATTGCTCAAAATATTTGAAAATCCCCTTTCAGTGAGTCATATCACCACATAGCCCCTTACAACCTCTGCCAAAGTCTTAATTGATAATTCTTGTTTTTTCCTTTTAAACTAAGAAATCTATCATCCAACACTTCCTTTATTCATTAGCCTCAGTTCTATGTTACTTTGTATTATATATAGAAAATCAAATCTACCCTCAAATCACAAAAATCTACTACTTAAGATATTCAGAAGACTGCACTGCAGACTTTGAAGCAATACCAAATGTTTTGTGTAGTGACAGAATCCCTGAAATAAATGTGACTTACAAAGATGTGAACTTTGAAGGGAACTATCTCCATTTGGATATTTTAGTTCTGCTCTGGTGGCCAAACAACCAGAACATTCCTTTGAGATCATAAATTGCATTCAATTCATCAACTGTTTCCATAATAAAAACTACAGCTATCTTTGGAATTTTGTACTCTCAAAAAATGCACCTAAGTACATTTCTGCTAACCAAATGCCAAGAAGATGTAGTGCCTTTAAATACTGGGCTTCAGGATAATTGCATTGGGACCCTGAAGCCCCAATCAGGATAGCAGCATTGAAATGTTACAAGGCCGCACCTGACCAGAATGTAACATTCAAAACACAAGACCAAGAATCCTAGTTGTTCTAACATAAAACGAACCAACTCCATGGCAACGTACTAGGGTCAGGGATAAAGTGATAGAAGATGAATGTGAAGTAGTCCTAGCATTGGTGGAGCACATTTTGACAAACTTCAGAAAGTGAACAGTTACATTTAAATTTAAAGGAACTTAAAGGAACAGTTAAATTTAAAGGAACTTCGAATTGTATGAGAGGATTAATTTTACAATTTCTGCCCAAAACACCCCCAAGGAAGATGGCATCTGAAGGTGGTCTGGAAGGCTTTGGAAATAAGCACTCTGAACTTGTATCAAGATCCAGTTAAAAGCTCTTTTTAAAGCATAATTTGTTAATTCTTTACAGGAAAATTCAAATACAAAAAGGATAAAATTTAGCCAAGAAAAGGGGTGAATCACCAACTTGTAGGGAGAACTCCCCAAGTTCTCATTCCCAAACTTCCCTTCAGGAAACTGAGGTTGGTCGGGACAAAGAATCCTGCCTTTTATTTCTCAATGTCTCTGACTCACTCAGGGTCACGCATGAACTGAGTCACGTTGCTTTACTAACATCTCCTGAGAACAGTTCTGAGGCTCCCTGGCTGAAGGAAGGTTTCCACATTCAGCTCTAGCAGGAGCTCCATGCTGGCAGGCTGCTCCTGTGGTCGGGGAGCAGGCTGTGACAGCGCCAGTCTTCCAGGCCTTGGTGCTGCAGGGGGGCAATGCTTAACAAGTGGGGAGAGGGAGTAAGAAAGGCAGGCTGGGTAGACCAAGACTTCAGGCTGCAGACAAGGGAGTTCTAGGGGATCATGAAGATCTTCATGCTTTTAGATGATGCGACTATGCTAGAGACACTGAGTCCTGAAGAACAAGGGCTGAGAGATGAAACAGGTCAGGAACATCTGTGTCAGGAAGGTTCAGTCAACTCTGTCTCTTCCTCCTGTATAAGTCTATCTGTTCTGTCTGGGGAGCCAGAGGGTGCTGAGTTGAGAGAGCAGCTGCTCTGACATTACACAGTATGTTTTGAACGCCAGTGCCACCTGTGCTAGCCATGTGACCAGGGATAATTTACTTACACCCTATTACATCTCCTAAGATGATATCATGAATGTAAAGTACATAATATGATTCCTGGCACCTAGAGTTTGCTCTATAAATCTTCGCTCATTTTCCTTATCTGCCTACATGGATAAGGGCTGACTTATCCAAAAGGGCTATATCTATTTGTCTAAAGAATGAAATAGACTCGACTGATAGAAAAATTGTGTATGCGATCCACAGTGATGTCCATACCTAACATACAATGAACATTGTATACAATGAACATTGTATGCATTATGTAAGCATTACACCAGGGTTTTTGGTGTCACCTATCAAAATAGTTGAAATTGTAAGGAATTTCTGCTTTGATTTCAAACAGTTTCTTGTGATGTGCTTTCAACACCTTCCTGAAGAGTGAGTGAAGGAAGCTTGCTGATTTCAGACGGGGGCTGTTTCAGACACAAATCCTAGAACAATGACAAATGTTTGGAAGAATAAAGACTCTCCCTCCCCACCAGCATCATATAATCATCTCAGTGGATCCTGGATAGCATTTAATAAAATTCCACGGCATAAGAAAGACTTGAAAATCAAAAACAGATACAGACCATGAACATTTAGAAAGAAAATTAAAGAGAAAGGGTATGAGGTTATCTGGGAATTGGGGCAAAAGCCCTTGAAACCTAGTAAGGAGGGTTTGGGTTGCTGCTCTGAGGTGAGATGGCTGTGCAGGGCTGAGCACCTGGGTTTGAATAGTGGCTCTGTCCGTGGCTACTGGGATGCCCTCAGGCTGGGCATAGATGCCAGGCTTTGTTTTATTCCCCAGCAGCCTGGGGACAGGAACATGGCTCCATCTGGCCCTGGTAGTCAGAGTGAGCCGTGGCTGATCATGGCTTGCCACACAGACCTCTCTCTGGGGAGGAAATGTCTGTCTTGTGAAATAAGAACCCATGATGTTCCCTCAATTTTCATGACCAATACAATCTATCCCAAAATGAAAGAACTCAAAATTCCAGTGGAAGAGATCCAGGATTCTAAAACGGAACTTTGTAAAACTGGAGTAATCTCTCTAATTCTCACGGCTGTTCTTTGCTGAAGGTTTGAGCTGACCTACAAGAAATCTGGCTCTGTAGTGCTAACCACAAAAGCTCGATAAAATCTCTGAAGGGAAAAGTAAAAATCAGAACAAAGCAAGTTTGTACTTCTTGAAATTTCAAAGTCAAAAAGCAAATCAGTGTTACTAAGGAAGTGATGTTATTATTTAAAGATCAAGAGACCATATGGTTTTAAGGAGAGAAAAGCAAATGACAGAAATAACTTATCTTTTCTAAAAAATAGTAATACCAACACTTAAAATCTGTTAAGAAGTTCCTTCTTTAAAAAAATGAAGTGTGAATTACAGGTATGACTTTTTTTGCACCAGAAATAAAATTGGCAAATGAGCCTTTGCTCTATCTCATTTTCATCTCAACTAGAACTTAAAAAAATAAGTTCTGGCTCCTTAAAGTATGATCTGTGAACAGTGCCAGTTTGCAAACTGTTTATTAATGGTCTGTTTATTTAAGTATAGAAATTGAAGAGTAATACTTTGGAAACTTTCATAGCAAGCTGGCAGAGTAATTTTTATGCTTGCTGAACCTAATGACTAAAGAGTCTTGTTTTTTAAATTTTGAATATTTTTATTTTTCTAGTTAATCACTTTTATTTTACCAAAGTTTTGGTCCACAACTAAAGAACACTGATATAAGCCTCACTTGGGAAAATGAGGTTTAGCACATTTCAAAAAAGCTTCTGGTGTAGGTCAACTCATTAATTTCCTATGTTAGGAAAGAGTTAAAATTTCTTGTGACTATATTAACCGTGGAGAGAGGTGAAAAGGAAATACTTCACAAAATGCATTTGAGATACCCAGTAGCAAAAAAAAAAAAAAAAAAGAGAAAGATCACCAAGAAGAGGCAGTGCATCAGGTTGCTGGGAAGGGTCGCTTGTGTACTTACTGGCAGACTCTATGAACTTGGGGTAGGCGTCGTATGTGATGAGTGGAATTGGTAAGTCCCTGAAGTACAGTTTCAGCGCGCCAGTGATAATGTTAATATCTTCATACATGTTCACGGAAATATCTGCTTTCTCACCATCTTTGGAAGAGGATAAAGGAAATAAATGTCTGGATTCACAGCACTCTTTTAATAAATGACATTTTTGTATACAGCATTTGAAGATTAGTAAAGCTTTAGTGTTTAATGTCAAGTTCAGTGTGCTAAATGACATAAATGATCGATTTTCTGTGTAAAACACAAAACTTCTGAAGTTAGTTCTTTTTCTATATTTATGGAGAGGGAAAGTAGGCGAGGACTAAGGTCACCAGAAAGATTTTTAAATTTCATAGCTACCTGAGAATTCCTACGGGTATAATGTGAGATTGCTTTTTCTTTTGAAAATAGCATAGAGAATGTGAAAACAACAACAGAGGCACCTCCACCGACCCCTAGTACGAAAGATAGCCTTCACTGCACCAAGGCTCCGACGTATTACGTTTGGATTTTGTCCAAGTTCTGGGGTAGGGAGGGAGTGGAAAGTAAAAAAAGCAAAACAAAACTTGAGTACTGAAATAACAAGAGAAATCACAAACTGGAGAACCATTTTAGAGGTGCTGGGTTCTAAGACTCAAGCACAGATGGTCTTGGCCCCTCTGATGCCCCTACATGTAGTGCTTTACTGGCAGAAATACCCGGGTCTTCATCTACTAAAGACTGGATTAGTGCCTAGTCTGAGCTAGATTTTATGCTAATTTCTTTTGTTCCATTTGGCTTATAAAAGATGTCTACGGATTATAAAGTTGCTTCTTCACCACACAACCATTAGAACAGCCGAAACCTAGAACACTGAGCACCAAATGCTGAAGGGCACAGGGAGCCACAGGAATGCTGCTTCATAGCCAGTAGGGATGCAAAATGGAAGAGCCACTTTGGAGGACAGGTCGTGTCTCATAAAGCTAAACACACTCTTTCCATATATCATGTTCCTAGGTGTTTACACAAAGAAGTTGAAAATTTGTGTCCATACAATTACTTGCATACAAGTATTTCTAGCAGCTTTATTCATAATTGCCAAAAATACCCGAAGCAACCAGATAGCAATAGATGAATAAAATGTGGTGCGTTCACACAATGGCATATTATTCAATGATAATAAGAGATGAGCTATCAAGTCATGAGAAGACATGGAAGAACTTTAAACTCTCGAATTCTAACTATATGACAAACTGGGTTCAAGGGAGAGGAAGGGAAGGAAGAACTGGTGGAACGCAAGGATTTTTATGGTAGTCCTCTAGGACACCATGTTGGTGGATACGAGTCATGCATTTGTCAAAATCCACAGAACTATGAAACAAAGAGGCACTCTAATGGGAGCTCTTGTCTTCAGTTAATGTGTTGATATTGGTTCATCAATTGTAACAGATGTACTGTACCAATGCAAGATGCCAATAATTGGGAAACAGGGCGGAGACATGAGAGAAGTTAGATGGGAAATCTCTGTACTTGTTGCTCAATTTTCTGTGACTCCTTTTTAAAAGCAGTCTCTTTTAAAATGAAGAATACCATACTCAAACACTCATTCAAATGTGAATTAGATGACCACTGTCCACCTCTCTTACTTAGGGTTGAAATCCTTTTCAGTGGCAGTACAAATAGAGTGCTTTCTGGAAGGAAGAAGCGATGCAGACTGCTTCACTGGGGGACTTTAGGAAAGCATGTGGATGCTGGGGGAGGGGCCTAAGGATCTAGAGAAGGGGATGTAGAGCACAAAAGAGGGTAGAAGAATGACAAAGGCAAGTATTACTTCTATCAGAATTTTACTCAAGAAAAAGTGTTTCCTTCTCTTCTGCAACATGGCTCCCATTTTTAGTATCTATTAGTTATTTTTCTATGAACAGATTTCAAATATCCAGTGTCACACAGGCTATAGCACAATTTTTGGTTTCAAAAAGAAAGTCAATTCTTATAGCTCATGACATAATGAGTTAAATAGAATGTGAAGGTTGGCCTGGGAGTTTTCTACCATTCATTACTTTTTTTATGGTAAGACACTGTGTCATCATATCTCAGTTCACTTCCTTTCACTTATTACTCTTTAAGTCATAGCACCATTCAGTGCCTTGACATGATCATCCTCAGGGTCTTTGCTTAGACTCTTCTGTTCTCAGTGCCTTTATATATCCTGGTTCTTTGCCTCTAAACTGATACATAGCCAGCTTCTATTTATGCTTAAAGCTTTAACATATATATTTATTTGAGAAAGCCTCTTCTGATCTCCATTATCTTCCCCCAAGCCCACCAAACTAAGATTCTTTTGTGGCATCTATCAAGATAAAATAACCACTGTGTGATTATTTAATGAAAGCCCTCCATGAGTGCAAGGACCCTGCATACATGATACTCACCTATAAAAAAATAGGTGCCCAGCACATAGTAGCTTTTGATAAATATTTCTTAAGTAATGAATCAATGAAATCCATTTTAAAAGGCTGGGAGCCCAAAAGATTAGCATTTGGGGCTTACTGTGTATATTATTATTAAACTGGGTTTTCTGAAATTTTTTTTAAGAATCTGCTTTCTTCTGTTTTAAAATAATATAAACACATCCTGGAATTTGATTTCCATATCATTCACTGTAAGTAGGCCTATTACATAGCAGAATATGCAACATTTTGTTCCCTGGTGTTTCTTAACTTCCAGCGCTTGACTCTTTCATCAGACTAGGGCTCTTCTGGCTTGGTAAGACTCAGGGTTGTTATTTGCTTTGGTCTTCCTAGGAATCTCTTACTGTACTGTCACATAAATAACTGTCCCATCAGAAGATAAAATGTGGCAAAGCTCTGAGGGCACATCTGATCTTGGAATAGTTAGTCTCTGAGTGGAGAACTATCATCCTAAGCCAGGGAAGAGTTTTTTCCAAATCTTGCCCTCTTAATTTGACCTTTGAATGAGTTCATTCCCACATTCTATGGCTCTTGCCTTTTTTTCTTGTATCTCGGCATTTAAGTGGTCACTCTTGGTCATTTGATTACTTTCAATTATTTTGTTTATTTGATACCGTGTGCCTTTGAAAATGTGCAGGTTTGGCGCAACATTTATATACAGAATTGATTTAAATTATCTTACATTGTTCTCTTTTGCACCCTTGTTAAAGTTCTTTACATAATTCCTACAGATCATGCAACTGACTGCTAGTACACGCCTTGGGGGGTGGAGGTAGGTGGCCCTGGGGCTGTGGCTCTATGGAGCCTCGGAGAGCTCGTCATGAATTTTCAAATCTGTTATTGGTGTTTTTAGGGTACAAAAAGTTGTCACATTTTTAATTAGAGGAAACGTTCACTTATTTGCCTTCCCATGGAAATAGCACGTTTGTTAGTGTTGAGCTATTATTCAGGAATCATGGCCAGCGGCTGGAAATGGACATGCTCAGTTGCACCTTCCACAGAAAAAGAGCTGCCTCTTTAATATTCAATCTGACGTTGCATTAGGGCTATTCCTGATGTTTAGCTGGACCTAACATATCATTACTTCACCTTATCTCATCATCTTACTTACTTGGGCTAACCTAGATTTCCTCATATTTGGTTAGTAATAATTATTTTTGTGTTCTGCCTCTGTTCCCTGGAAGAAGCTTGTGATGGGAGAGGAGTGTGATGGAATTAGAAATCAGAAGTTATAATTAGGAATTAAATTGCCAAGGAAGGAGGTCCTTTTAAAAGATTACATCTCTTACTTGTTTCTGTGTTCAAGGTTTAGCTCTCTTTTGGTAGTACCTAGTCTAGTCCTTAATGCAGAGACAAACTGGAGAACCATGTAAACCATGGAAATCTTAATTTAAATGTTAGCAAAAAGAAAATAAGCCCCACTGAGCTTTTATTTCCACAGTGGGCTCCATGCCAGAAGCTTCTCAACTGTTCTTAGCTTCGTGTCCCCACCACGTGAGGCAGGTTTAAGAGGCAGCTCAGTCAAAGCTGGAGAGACAGATGTCCCGGAGGCACAGAAGAGACAATTGGGGAGGCCAATTCAGGCTGGGAAATCTAGATCTGTAGTGACTCACTCTCCCTGCCTATTTTCCTGTTAGTTTTGGTAAATTTAATTGTTCAGTATGTATTTTGGTGATCATGAACCAGCCATGTATATGCAAATATTGGTAATATTGTTAAATTTTATGCTTATCCAGAAATTTGATAATATCTAGTACTTAAAACTAATAAAAAGTCATAAGTCTTGTTTTCTATAATAATTACCAGTGATTCAGAAAAATTATGCAAAAATAACCTAAGAATTTGTGCCTTTTGGCTCAATTACATACTGTAGTCATTGGTACATTAACTTGTAGGCACATTAACTCTTATTCTAAATTAACAAACATGCTGAAGAACATACCTCTGTCAAAAGCCATCTTGACATCTTCTATTAGGTCACTAAATCCTGACACTCGGTATAGTCCTTCAGAATTAAGACCTGTAAAAATAAAGGGAGCTAATTAGTTTTTTTAGAATTATACCCTTTCTTTAAATATTAACTTCTTCCCATACTTCAGGCTGAGATGTAATGTGCCATAAAGAGTGGTAAAATAATACGTCTTTAGAAACCTCTTCAACACTTTCTCTGAAAATGAAAAACCATTTCACCCACAGTTTTTAATTCTGACCTACTGTCATCTGAATGTTTGTAACTGGGCTCATCATTTTGTCTAATTAGATGAACTATGTTAAGTCTTAAGGGAAATAATTCATGACCCCCAAAGGCAGCATAAATTCTCTTATATAACAGAAGACGAAGATGAACTATGTTAATAAGCCTGTAGCAGTTTTTCCCGGTGGGAAAAAATAATTAGGGTGCAGCTCTAGTTTTTGGCCTAGGACAGTTATAGTAGAGGATTTAATATCTTTGCTTCTTGGACTGAAGGAAAATATGAAAACTGAAAAATGAATTGGTACCTACATGTCAACAACTTTCATAGAATGGAGGCATCATCAATAAATATATTTTTAAGGATATTTCTTATGGGTTAAATAAATGTACCTTGAACTCAAACTGTTTAATAATTTGCTAAATCACTTCAGGCTTTCAGATCATTTGACATCTGAAATCATTCCCCCTAGACTCCTAGAAGACAGCTGGAGTGTGTAGTGAGGCACCCAGAAAGGAACTAGCTTTGTCCATGGTGAAGTGAGGTGTCCCCAAACTGCACAGACGCCCCACCTCTGGCCTCGATCTCCCTGATGCACATGTCCACGACCATTGGTCGCTTGGTGATATGGGCTTTCACGAGCGTTGTGAGGTCACAACTGTACACCTTCTTGACATGCTTCAAGTCCGGCTTGCAGTCATTTGGGACCATCTTGGAACACTGCTTATGAACATTCAAACCACAATCTAAAAAAAGAATAAAGGAAAAATTTGTTATTTTCGGAGATTTGGGCATTCTAGAATGTCTATTTTAGGGAAAGAAATCCCAGCTTGAATTAGGTTTAAAAGGGGACCAACATCCAGCAGTCCCTTCAGAGTGGGGAAACATTCTTCCCGTATTTTCTCTTGGAAAATCAGAGGACCAGAATTCTAGCTTATGTTTCCTTATTCACTTGCTATGCAATTTCAGGAGGCTACCAATCTAAACCAAATTAATGTGTTTTAATGAAATAGAAACAATGTGACATTGTGCCAAATAGTCAATGAAAATCTATTCATTTATTTGGTGTTACATAAAAATTGTATTTAATGGGGGATATATTGCATTTTTATATATTTGATAAGGAGTGGAATGGGACATCCAAATGTAAGAATTGATCCAAGGTACTGTTAAAATGGTGGTGTTCATATTTGTATCTATTCACAATCCCCTCTCTCTCTGTCTCTCTCTATATATATCTATATATATATCTATATATCTCTATATATCTATATATCTATATGAATGTGTGTTTATAAATATACACACAGACATATTAAAATCTATTAGATTCTATTATATTATCTATAGGTATTAGGTTCATGTGAGGCTTTGATGTTAATATATGTAAAGTGCTGACAGGTAGTAAATTATCAATATAAGTGGTTACCATAACTTGTTGTTACTTAGAAAGTACAAAACTATGTTTTGGGAGGCCTCTGCTATGTAGTACCCTGGAGTTTGTTACAGGGCATTGTGATAATGAGCTGAAGGACAGAAGCTAAATTGAATTCAAGGCCAGTGCAGTGTTTGTCAGATGTGATCACCAGATCCTGAAAAGGACTTGGATGATGGGGGCCACAGCTGCTTCTGTACCTTCCCTGTTCTGGATACATTTCATTTACATAAAAGTATTAGTTAGAGTAAGTAATGCATCCTTTCTGTTTCTGCCAAATTTGGTGAGTTTTCAGCTGTTTTTCAAAGATTTTCAGCCTTTCTTTATCTTCAGGCACTTTAAAACCACAAATATGAAATCTTTTGTTATTGTCCCTTGTGTCTCTGAAACTTAGTTCACTTTTTAAAATCAATTTTCTTTATTGCTTGAATCAGATAATTTCTGTTGCTCTATATTCAAGTTCACTGATGCCTTTCTCTGTTACCTCTATTCTGGTCATTGAGCCCATCAGTGAATTTATCTGCAAATACATTTTTTCAGTTCTAAAATTCCCATTTGGTTCTTATATCTTTATTTCTTTTCTGCTATTTCTTATTTTTTCATTTGTCTCGAGTGTTCATAACAGCTTGTTGGAGAATCTGTAAGCCAACTGAGTTCCTTGTCTGATAATTCCCACATCCGTGTCATCTCAATCTTGGTGTCCACTGATTGTCTTTTATCATGAGTTGAGGTTTTCCTGGTTCTTGGAATGAAGTGTAATTTTTATCTTATTCTGGATATACTGAGTGCTTGTAAGTCTCTGGTTGCAATTTAAATATTCCATTTTAAGATACTGAGTTAGCCTGTTTAGATTTAGAATGCATTTTCTGGGTCACCTTTTTAGGCTGTAGTTCAAATGTTAAGCCAGCTGGCAAAATCGTCATTATTGCAGTGCTATTTTGCCTGCCCCACCTGTATGTTCCTCAAATTGCGGGGCTCTACCCCACACTCTGGGAAGGAAGAGCACCTACTTACTGCTGGGTAAGGATGAAAGTCAGGGCTTTCCCACAATTCTGGTTGAGCTCCATGCTATCCTGCATGGAACAGCGGGGTAGGCCTAAGACAGTTCTGATCACAGTCTCAGCTACCTCATTATTGCAAAGCAGGGATGAATACAGGGCTGTGCCCAGTTGAGAGGGTGCTGTCTCTACCACAGGGTAAGATGAAAGTCTCATCTATAGGAACAGCCAAGGGAGGGCTAGTGCTTTGGCGAGGAAAAGGAGGTTTTTCTTGGATTATTTTTTTGTCTGTGCCTGTTAGCATTTATGGGTTGTCGACTTCTCTGGTGCTCAGGCTGGGATACACACATACACACAGTAAGCCAAAACAAAACCCAAAATGCTAGCAGGCAACTCACTGCTGGGTTCCTTGAGTCCCAAGGTCCCTTCCTTTCTCCACCCTTTTCTTAATTTTCAGAGTCTTCTGATAGTTGACGTATATGTTTTGTCCAGGGTCTTTTGTCATGATTATTGTGAGGAATAAAGCTAAATATATTTATTCATTTTGTCCAGAAACAGAAGAACTATTACATAGTATTTTAAGAATATGGAATCATGATCTAGTAAAAATGTGGATGTGCCCCATACTTTAAATGGGTACCAGAGGTCACAGATTGAGTTGGAAAGGAGTGCTGGTAACAACATACCCCAATGCCTTCATTTCACAAAGACAACAAAGCTTTGTTTATTCAAGTTATTCAGTCATTGATGGTAGAACTGAGATTTAAACCTTGACTTTCTGATTCTCAGTCTGTGTTCCTCCTACTGAGTATACCATGTACTCTTGAGTTACTGCTTTTGGCCTTGAAGATGAAATTGTGATCAACCTCTTATTCAATAATGCCTATTGTTTGTAGCTATTACTCATTGCATATGCTTGAGTTTAAAAAATTCTATTATATTTTACCCAAATGAGTCTATTATAGAGATCAATAGTTGACTGATTTGGTAATGACTTTTAAAAAGCATTGATAATACTGTATGTTATATTCTTATTTTTTCATATTTTCCCCTAAGTATAAATTCTAAATGAAATCCAGTTCAAAGCAAACAAAAAATTGTTGATGTAGCCTCATAATATGAAAACATCTGGCTAGCACTAACGGTTGGATATTAACTTTTTCCTTTAAATGTTTAAAGTTATCTCCCATTTTAAACATGAGCAGACTCCTAAGTTTATTTGTGACTCAGTAAAATCTGGATGAAGTGATAACTGAGTTAAGATTTAGGTATTGCAGGAAAAGGGAAATGTTTTATAAACCCATATTCTTTCATTGAGTAAGATGAAACTATGGGACAATAAATTATGCTTAATTTTGGAAATAAACTCCAAAGGCCAAATTTTTGGCAGGATTGGACATGAAGCTCTTCAGAAGGCCAAAGAATAAGGCAGTCATTAAAATAAAGCATCTTTATACCCCTAAGTTCACAGTGCAATATACCAGCCCCTGAGCTTCCTCTGAAAATTTCTGCTTCAGGGACTTGCAATATATCAATATTTCAGTTTGCCATTAAGACTTTATTTGGTTTTCATACTTATTTATTAAAGTCATATAACTCCTATATAGTTCCATTTCTCCAAGGGAAGCTCTAAACTATAAATGAAAAAAAAGTCCATAAAAGATCATTTCATTTTTTTCTATCTCTGGTTTTGCTAGGTTATTTTTATGTTACTATTAAACCACATTCCCCCCCTCCCAGTTCAAGTTTATAAGCACAGGATAAACATATGAAAGGATGAATGAAAAATTCAAATCACATTTTATTTGGTCCTTATATTAATAAAATATTTCTATTACTTAGCCTATTAACTTGAGGATACGCTCCGATTTTCCTGGGACTTGATTTTTCTAAAAAAACATGTATGCTTTATAGCTAGAAGGGACAGAAACATTTTTTTCAAATAGCTGCTATCACTGATAGGATTAAGGGGTATGTTAATGTGTGTTTTGAAGGAACAATAATTATTCATGTCTATGATTGTTCATATTTAAAATAATTGTAAAGAAAACTTATTTTAAAATACATCTTAGTTATTTAAATCTACCCCAAGACTATTCAGGAAAAATGGGAATAGTTCATTCTAATATGCATCCAATATGCATTATTTTCTAAACAAAATTAAGAATAACTTGTTCTTTAGAATATTTATGTAACTTGCTTTCAATTAAAAGGGCTACATGCAAGTTTTAAGCTAGTCTAACCAATTTCTCACTGATGTATAAGGACAAACATACCTTTTTAGATACAATCAAAGCAGTAACTCAAAGTACTTCCCATTTATTTTCTTTAACCTAAAAGCTAAGGACTTATATACTTGAAGAGTAAATACTTTATTAGGGAAAAAATGCCATTTCCTCATGGGAGCAGGCAGTAATGATGATGATACACTGGAAAAATGAAGTCACTTTGAAAGACAATCAATACTCAGTTGAAATGTTTCATTTACAACAATTATTACCTGGCTTAACTCCTAGTAGGGCTAAAATGAAGACAATTTAGGAACAATGGTGGAATAATGGTCTTTTTTATTGGGGGGATGTTTTACATTCTCAATGATTATATAGCTTTTTTAAAAAAAAGATTTATTAATTCATACAAGAGCTTGGATAGAGGAGTGGAAAGGTGAGAGGATTGACCAGAGACAGAGCGGGGAACAGAACAGGCAGACTGATGAAATACACTGCTGAGGGGAGCAGTGGGCAACACAGGAAAGGTCTGCCACGGCATGTGGGTATCTCCCCGGCTGGCCGGGAATCTAACCTGTGCTGCAGAGGCTGCGGACAGCTTCACAGCACTGTGCTCAAGCTGCTGTGCCACTGGGGAGACCCTCAATGATTATATAATAATAATGGACTGTATTAACCTCTCGACTTACATTTCAAACCATTCTGTCTGAGTAACAATCATTCTTTAAGTACAGGCTCATAAATATTTAGCAGGAGAAGCACCATACCTGCAGTTAGATACTCCCTTGCAACATAATTTTACTCACTTTAAAGAGGGCTAGTGTAAGGGAGACTTTGGTAGATGAGACTATGTTCAATACCAACTATGGAACTTTGTGTTGCTGGATTTTGAAAAGTATTATGTCTGATGACTAGGGTTGGGGTGATCATCATCCCTGCTGCTCCCCCAGTTGTGTCAGCTGTGGACTGCTCAATGGCAAGCCCGGAGCTGTGTCCGTCCTGTTGGCTAGATTCAGTCTGATCCCTACAGCAGTTCTGCCACGCTAGGGGTTGGAAAATCACCTGACACCCAACATGTTTGTTTTTTTGTAAAGAGAATAGTGATGGGATATGAAATTGCTGCTCTGGGAAAATACTTTTAAAAATTCCTGATCAGCTCTCTTTTGCTATGGTGGATTTTGAAAAAAGAAACCAGAACAAAGCAAGCCAACTTAGGGATCAAAAGCAAATAAATATTTCTTTTTCTGACAGAGTAAGCTTGCTATTTTTCTTTGGAAGTACTATCTTTAAATTTTGTTACTATGTCTTAGTTTTCCACTGCTGCTGTAACAAATTACCACACACTTAGTGGCTTAAAACAACATGAGTTTATCACCTTAAGGTTCTTGAGGTCAGAACTCCAAAATCCATTTCATTGGGATAAAATCACTGGATGTTAGGCCAGTGTTCCATCTGGAGGCTGTAGGGAAGAATCTGATCTTTCTTTGCTTCCTTTCTTCTCCAGTTTCTGGAGGTTGTAGCATTCCTTGGCTCATAGCCCCCTTCCTCTATCTTCAAAGCCACTAGGATAGTGACATAGAGTCTTTCCTTTTTGACCTCTGTTTCTGTCCTTAACTTTTTTTCTGCCTCTGCTTCTCTTGCTTTCCTTTTAGAAGCACATTTGTGACTCTGATTAACCTGGCCCCACCCTGACAACCTAGAATAATCTCTTATCTTAATATCCTTAACTTAATCAGAGTCCCTCTTGCCATGCAATATATTCACAGGTTCCAGGTGTTAGGAAGTGGACATCTGTGGGGAGCCATTATTCAATCTAGCAGAGTTAGTTTTGAATTCTTAATTCCTTGCATTCTGTTCCAGATAAAGTTGGTGCCTGAATGGTCAGACACCTCAGGTCTAAGAATCTCCTGGTCAATGCAAATGTAATTAGCTGCCATAGAAAACAATTCAAATCCCAACCCTCCATGTTTTAAAAGTGGGTTAACTTGTTCTTAAGTTATACAATGATATTCAAGTTATATTCAAATTGTATTTTAATTCAAATCACAAAGAATACAATGCTTTTTAAAGACAAGATATAATGAAAAATGTCAAGGTTTTTCTTTCAATTCCTGCCTTTTATTCACAATAAGAATTGTGAATCAGGCTGTTGATGTGGACTGCTGTTATGGGGGTAAATCACTTTCTCCCTTTCCTTCATTACTATAGTAAATGTTCCAACACTTTTCTTTCAAATATGATTTAGGATTGTGTCATCTTGCTAAAGATTATTCATACGTTGTACCTGTTCCCTTTTGATAACTGAGAATTCTTACATAGATGACCTTTATGCTTTCAAAATATAAATGATACATATCAATATCAATACTATAGTAAAAGAAAAGCATTTGAGTTGGTGACAGTCATAACGTGTTTAGGAAATTGAGAGTCTCAGCTGGTCGAGCTGTGCCATAAAGGTAGGTCAGGATAATAGACACCATCTTTTCTTGAGTCAGCCATTTGTGCTTTGGAAAGAGGACTCCATTCATCTCTGAAAAACCACACCATGTCAATGGCCTTAACATTTCTATAACGACACTTCACATTCCGTTCAGTTCCCCTCCAGTTCAGAGCCTCAGCTACAGCCTTCCTAGTGAAGGTCGTTGTTCTGACAATGGGTAGCCACCAGCCAGGGCTACTCTGCCTTCGTTTCCTCTCTGGATGGACACATGTGAAGGGGCTGGCATCCCTCTAGGGCAGAGGAATCCAATAGGATTTAAGCTGACTCTCCTGGACAGACGCCTCTGCACAGTTCAAAGTTCTTACCCTTCCCTGTGGCATGGAGGTCCTTCGGTGGAATTGGCTAGCCATGTCATCATACCTTAGTGACACTAAGTGACATTGTTGGAAGAAGGGTGACTTAGAGACTTCACCTGTGTTCTGCACCTTGCTATTCAAAGAAAACGTACTTGAGAAAAAAGGAAAATCAGACCCCTGAGTTTCGGTATATAATGAACAAAAATAGTCCCTCAACAATCATGCCATAAAAGAAAAATAGTGGATAAGTTTGAGAGTTACTATAGCTACCATTTAAAAATGCTTTACTTAGTATACTGTCTTAGTGTTAAGCTTCATGATAAAAAAGACATGTAAAATGGCATTTTGTAGTTTTACAATTTAAGTAGCAGAAACTTATATAACCAAACATTATATACTTAAACTTTAAATGATTATTTTCAAGTCTACTGGAATTTAGGGAAGTTTGAATAAATGGCTAGTACTCAGTGTAGTCGATCTACACAAATGAGTTTCCCATGTGAATAGCTTCTCAGCTCATAAAGCAATTCAGTAAATGCAAGTTGGTTGCTTCTTTATGCAAAATCTTAATGTTTCTAAATTTAAACCTAAAGGTATCATGGTCATATTTTATAAAAAGGATTTGGCATATTCAGTATTTCAAAACATCACAAAATATTAGTGACTAAGTGGTTTTTCAGAATTTGGTAACCATCTTTGCAGATAAATTCACAGGTTTTTTGAGCTTCAATTTGATTTCACAAAAAATTTAGTAAGAACAATCCAGCCTAACAAGTTATCCTTAAAATTCAGTTTCCAAGGCAACAATCATAGATCCCTGTACATGGCTTTTTAAAAATCATTTTTATAAATTTAGTTATGACAACATCAAATATGAAAGTTAAATATAACACCATTTATCTCCTTTTATCAGACTTTTAAAAAAAGTCAATCTCTTTTTAATGGACCATAACAGATCCCTATCTACTGCCCAGGGCAGAAAGTTGAGGACAGACAGAATAGCAATTTCCAAAGCCGCTGCCTGCGAATGCAGACCACTGCATGTATGCCAAGAACAAACCAGGATCAAGCCATTTTATGTGCATTAACAGTGAGTCTCCTTATAACTTACTTTTTTATAACTCTGTAACTTAGGGAAAAGGGAAGAGCACTCACCTGCACACTTCACTCCCTGAGCAATGAGTCCCCACATGAAGTTGGCACAGTACTCACACCAGTGTGGCCCTCTGAAGGTGTGGACCTGGGAGAGAGCAACGACAGAGTTGTCAGAGGAGAGACTTGGGTGAGAAGCCAGTTTTCTCTCAAAGTCCAACTCACAAGCCAGTCTGCACTGGGGAGGAGACATGGCTACATTTTTAAAAACCTTGGTTGAAAGGAACAGACAAGCAGTCAACATTTCTTTCCTCTGTTTTAGAAATGGTGACAAATCAAATCAATACACTGCAATTTACTTTTGAAAACAGTTTCCTCAGTGGAATTTTCCAAACAGTCTCCTCAAACAGTTAAGTAGCCTCACCTCTGTGTGTGATACCGTGATTTATAAGAAATACATATTTGGTCAGCTGAATGACCAAATATATATTTCTCATACATATCCGGTCTTCATCCACAGTTCTTGCCTTACAGCACCCCCAAAAGTCTCGAAATTTTCTGAACGTTGAAGATGTCACTTGCTATGTTACGGAGGTAACTTTAAATTTTGGTAAACACGAGGGTAGGAACAGGTTACCAGTAAAACCAACCTGAGTGGTTCGGTTAGAACTTCCAGTCCTACCCTGTCTCTGGGAAGGGAGGGGGACGGGAGGCTGAGCTCAACACCAATGGCCAATGAGTTCATCAACCCTGCCTGGATAATGAAGCCTCCGTAAACGCCCAAGAGGCTGTAGTTCTGAGCATTTCCAGACTGGTGAATGAATGCAGATTTGGAGAGAATGGTGAACCTGGTCAGGGCATGAAGGTGCCACACCTTTTCTCCATATCTTGCCCAGCGCCTCTTTTCTGCCTGGTGTTGATTAGTATCCTTTAAAATCCTATGTATTAAATTGATGATATAGTGAGTAATTGGGCTTCCTGAGTTCTGAGAGCCATTCTAGCAAATTAATCAAATCTGAGGTGGGTGTCCTGGAAACCTTTGACTTACAGTCAGTTGGTAAGAAGTACAGATAAGGGCTTGTGACAGTCTGAAGAGAGGAGGGACTGATCTATAACTGGTTGGTCAGAAGCATGGGCTTGCCTGGGCTTTCAGACAGTCTCTGAAGTGGAGGGTTGCTGGGGAGACTGAACCCTTAACCTGTGGAAGTCAGGTAGTCAGAAGTCAGGTAGTCAGAAGTGAGCTGAATTCCTGAATATCCTTCTGGTGTCTCAGGATTGCACACTGGTGTAGAGAAGCTTCCACTTACCCTGTTGGGAATTAATATCCACGACACACCAAAATGCAATGTGTAATACAAATACTGGCACTTTCTGAATACTCTGGCATAAAGAAGGCAAGGAGTGATGCAGATTTACTTTAGGGTCCTGTAAAGTTTTGTCAGATAATCCACCTTCTGCCTCTATAATCAAAGTTAGGGTCACAAATGTTAAAGGTGATACTTAGTGACTGGTCACAACGGAAGCATCATAAAGGGCCAATTTCTGCTCGAAACCCTGTGGTACTTTTTATGTTAGCAAAGAGAATAAATGTAATTTTAGAAACTGCAGAAGTTAATCAGAAACCCTTTTTTAGTATAGTAATTACTAATTATTCCAGCTCATAAGTCTCTGTGCATTTTGATTCCTTTATCCCTGAGAAAGGCATCCTCGAAGGAGAAATGATTCAAATGTATGAAAGGCTTTATAAGACTTTCTAACTTAATTCAGATGAAAAAATACAATAGAATGGAGAAGCAATAAAATATTGACTGAAAATGCACTCAAGAAATAATTTACAAGGGAGAGGAAACAAGGAAGTCACTGATATGTATCAAATTATTTACTTGAGATAATTTCTTGTATATATTTCCTCCTGCACAAAACAATAATACAAGAGAATGAATATCACAAAATGTGACAATTTGATTCCAACATAAATATCTGCCAAAGCTATTGCAGATTTTGGACAGAGTAATGAAAATCACAGCCAAGATAGTCATTTTTTACTATTTCATTTATCAAATAAGTCTTAGAAACCAAGCAAATGGTTAAGATATAACATTTCTTCAAAATTAAGCTACAGAATGTGACTTACATTGAATATTAGACATATTACATTTAGAAAAATCATGTCAGTTAAATTTGGACAAGTTACTGATTATAAGATAAATCCTAATTTTACAGATGTTAAAATGAAAAAGTAAGTATATATTAGAATCAAAAAAGGTGGTACTTCAGAATTCAAACTACTACTGCTGGCCAAAATACCCAAGTAAGGCTGCAGTGGAAAACCTGGTGCATTCCAAGTAGGTATGTGCTTTTGACTCTGGTCAGTGCCAAGTGAGCAGAGTACAAACTGTGTTGATTTTGAAAAGAAGGCCATAATCCTATGTCTTTTCTTTTTTAAAGATTTATTTATTTATTTATTTATACAAGCACTGGGTACAGTCAGAAGCGCGGGAGGGTTGAGAGAATTCACCAGAGCGGGTTGCAGTACAGGCAGAAGGACCGAAGTACACTGCTGAGGGGAGCAATCTTTTTTTTTTTTTTAAAGATTTATTTATACAAGAACTGGGGTACAGGCCAAAGGTGCGGGAGAGGGAGAATTCATCAGAGACAGAGCAGGGAGCAGAACAAGCAGATGGACCGAAAACAGTGCTGAGGGGAGCAGTGGGCGAGACAGGAGAGGTCTGCCACACCATGTGGGTATCTCCCTGGCTGGCTGGGAATCAAACCCGCGCTGCAGAGGCTGCGGATAGCTTCACAGCGTTGCATTCAACCTGCTGCGCCACCGGGCAGGCCCCAAGAATACAATCTTGCTTTCTTTCCTGTGAGGGGAACGAGTAAAATATAATAGATAGCAGTGACTCTGATTTTAAAAAAGTTAAAATCATGAAATAGCTATAGAATCGTAAAGCTATTTTTAGGGAAAGTCTTTGGGACACAAACTGGCTTGTGGATTGCTTATAGATCTCGGGATAACCCAGTACCATTTCATTTGGTAAGGCTACGAAAAATGGAATACAAGTGTGGGGGAAGTCCCGGGAATTATTTTGGACTTATCAGTTAACTAAGGACAAAGGGTCTTAATGTTTTATCAGGAGAGCAAAACCAGAAATAACTTAGAAAAAAAATCAGTACTGAGATGTTATGACAGACCCAATTCCCTTCCTTACTTAGTGACTGCGACGTTTTGAAAATCTTGGGACATTTCTTCATCTTGCATATGCAGGAGAAAGGATTCAACTGTTTACACAGGCCCGGTGATCTCGAATTAAGGGATCACAGAATGCAATCTTCAGGAAATTGCTGTTCATACATTTCATTCTTGGCCAACTTTTTTAATAAAGGTATCCTGGGCCATTTGGGGCTAGTTTTGTTGTTACTTTATTTTTTAAACCCCATGTAAGCTACCATAAAGTTCTCCAGAAAACTGTTCTTAAAAACAGGCCCTCAAGGATCAGAAGCACACTAAACTTCTATTTGTATAATATGGTTTAGCTGGATTCCCTTCTGAATTTTTATAGCTAAAATTTGTATTAAACTTTTGATTTGGTGACATCTATGACTATGACACTAGTTTGAAATGATAAAAATTGAATAGAGCAGCTTTTAAAATTCTCTTAAGACATCATTAAAACAGATTTTATCTATTAATCATTTTTATTCACTGATAAATATTTAATAAATGATGTCATCTACAAAGGTAGAAAGGATACTGGCTCCAGGAATTCACCATAGTTTTCCCCATGATTCTGCCAAGTGTGAAGGCAGCTGGGGTAGGGTCAAGGCTCAGGCCAAAGGTGGGGGAATCATGTGCTGAGCCTCCCAGAGGTGCAGTCAGCCAGGTGAGTTGGTCAGGCCTGTGCACTGGAGTGGGATGCACTGGGAAAAGCTGCTCCAAGAAAATCAGAGGCCCAGGCATGAGCAAAATACTGGGATGTTTAGGGAACTGCAAGGAAGCTCAATGTGATGGAGAGCAGGGGGTGGTGATCAGAGACAAGAGGCAGATGGGGTCTACCCCATGCGTTTAGACTCTGCCAGTGGGACACAGACAAGGAGGCAAGGATGGAGGAAGACAAGCTATGTAGGATGTCATGGCAGTCACCCACATTAATGGCGTGGATCAGAACGCAGGCAGTGGTGACTGAGAGCCAAGTGAGTTATTTAGGAGGCAGCTCAGCAGGGCCTGGTAACCAAATGAATCACAGGCAAAGAATGGGGAAGAACCTGGGCTGTCAGGGTGTGGGGCCTGGTGACTGGGAAGGATGACATTAATAGAGGGAAGAAAAGTACAAGCCCAGGTTTGAGGAGAGGTGAGGGGCTGATTGAAGATTCCCAGGAAAGAAGGGAATCTGATTGTATGGCTGATTGTATGGCTCCTAAAGGCAGTAGATGGAGATGCGATCCAGAGCAGAGGGATGATTTTGAGTAAAAGGAAAATCACTTTCCCCTTCTCAATTTGAGAAAAAGGTAGGAGGGAGAAGATGGCTGTGCAGGAGTGTCAGGAAGCTGGAAGCTAAGGGAGTCTGTGCACTAGGAAGTGAGTTCAGTTCCTCGAAAAAGGGTTTCGAGAAAGTGGTAAATAGGAACTGGAACTAGCCAGAAATTCAGAGATGTTGGACTTGAAAGCAACTTTCTTCCCTGGAAGACACTCAAACTATATGCGTGTCAAGCACATTAAAGAACAGGGCATACACTTTCTTTTTATCAGTGATGTTTATATCACATATTTTAGTAATTCGGAAAAAGGTAACTTTAAAAATCAATTGTACAAATCGCACATCTATGAATACTCTCCAGTTGTGCTGCTCTCGCTGGCACTGTGGAGACAAGGTGTGATCTCCTGCGGACAATTTCGTTTAGTAGACATGGTTGTATTTTGATTACATGTCTTAAGTGATTAAATCAGAATGGAATGAGTACTCCAAAAATAAAAGAGAAGAACTTGCACCTTGTGGATTCTTTCTGCTTAGGAGAATGCTAAGAATGAACTTGGGTGCATCTGCAAGACAGGAGGTCTAGATGGTTCACAGGGGCCAGGGGCTCAGGCCAGGAGCCCTAGGTTAGGGAGCAACTTTTGCCTGGAATGCCCTAGTGTGTGGTAGG